CAGGGGTGTCAAACGCAAAGCCTGCAGACTGGACCCAGCCTGCGGGGTGCTTAAATCTGGCTCATGGGGAAATATCAAAGGACTGGCCCACAGTGTCTGCTGGCCAAAATGGGCCATGAAGAGGGTGTGTGGGCAGGTTCCCCCGGCCCATTTTTGGTTTCCACTGTCTCCTGTAGCATTCTGCCGGCCAAAAACAGACGTCTCGGAGGCCTCGTGAGGGCCCTGTGCAGCCTGTTTTCGGATGGCAAAGTGCTGCAGGAGGCCGTTCAGGCTGAAAACAGGACAGAGGGGGCCTACACATGTCCCCACATGCTCCGCTTTGGCTGACAGGGTGCTGCAGGAGGTGTCTGTCCCGTGTTCCCCCCCCTTCCCCCCCCCCCCGCCAGCCGACGGAGAAGTACAATGCTGATCTGGCCCTCAAAGAAATCCAGTTTGACACCCCTGGTTTAAAGAGAAGGCTGCATTAAAAGAACTGAGAAGCTAAAAGTTACTTTTCTATTACCAATTTGCCCTTTGGCACATCTTCATAATTGATGCTGCCTGATGATGGCAATGTGGTGTATGCTGCAGATATTATCAAGATTTACAGTGGCTTACAACTGCATTACACTGCATTAAGAATGGGAAATTAATATATTCTAAATAATATCAATGTAATACATAAGCAAAACACTAATTATGTTCTGCTAGAGATATAAATAGATAAAAGTGCCAATGGCATACAATCATTCTCTTTAGGCCATTCAGAAAAGTTAATTCTTGTGCCTTCTGAGGCAGTATGGCAGACTGAACACGATTCTGCTTTTTGGTGAGCTAATAAAAGTGGCCGAAATAGGAGCTGATGAATTGGCTCCTTGGAACTTGGACTAAGAAGAAAAGAAAACCCATGTTTTAGCACCATACAGATTCTCCCTCCAAAAAGATTGCTATCCAGTGGGTTTGAGAGGTCTGGTAGAATATTTGCCTAAGCCACCCTTGGTGTTTGCCTACTTCCTCTCTTAATTACTTTTGGAAGCTACTTATTACTGATTTATTTGGAATGAAAGTTTTGAAAAACAAGTTATATTACACTGAAAGACTTTCTTTCCATGTGGGATGAAACAAGTTCTGAGTAAATTTAAGGATTAACAAGAGGGATTTTTAATTTTTGGAAAACAGAAGTGGGACTAGAATGTTACTTTTGGAAAGTCAAGGGGCTAAATGAACCTGAAATAATATTTCTGGTGGGGTATTTAAGATTTATAAAATAGTATATGAAGTTTTTGAAATTAATGGTAACAAATCCTCTCATGGGAAAATTTTGCTGACTGGAAAATAAATAGATGATAAGAAGGGATCTGAAGGCTGGCTACAGGGAACCAAAAACTACAAAGGGATTACTGTACTGTTAAAGGAGAACAGATCCTTCAAAATAATGGAACAACACTATTTGTAGAACAAATTAAGGCTTTTTGGGAACAATTTACTCAGAAGATTCTGTGTCATCATATAAGTATATAAGATTCTGTGACACTATAGTGAGAAAATAGAAGAACAATAGATTTTATCAGATAAAACATCCTGATTTAAATATGGATTTGGAGTTTAAAAATGATTGAAGTATAAAAATGATATGGAAAAAGATATTAGGACTTGAAAATGATTTTAAAAACACCAGGATTTGAGTAATAGGGAAAATGACATCAAAATGGATTTACAAATGAAACCAGTTTGTGTTCTGATAATTAATAGGGACATATAATAACAAATCAGAAGAGTGACTTAGAAAGCCTTCTTACTGTGGATTTACAAGAGGAATGTGGAAAACCAAGAAAACTCTGACAAGAGACAAATTGCTCAAACTGTTCCAGGAAAAAGACAAAAGAGAAACTGATAAGAAATCAGCTTCTGAGAACTAACTAGATGGGATCAATACCAAGCCTTTTTTAAAAATGAAAAGAAGATTTCTAAAGTAATTCTGTTAGATAAAGGTTAAAAATATATATGTTATAGTTTCTGGTAGCTATTAATGGGATTCCTTTTTCACCAGGATTTAGTCAAATCAGTTTATTACAGAGACTACCAGGATTGTATGATGATGCTTTGTTGTACTTGTATACAAACGGAAAGAGATTTCTTTTGCATTATTTCTTAGAGAAAATGACAAGCTTGGATTATAAAATTGAATTTTTTGGATTAAGATTCAAATGTATGACAAATTGATTTATATGTTTTTTTTGCAATTTGATTATGGGTGAGGGATTATTTATGGGAAGAAAAGATTTTTTTTCCTTTTACTTAACTATTAGATAAGGTGTGGTTAGCCAAATTGTTTATATGCAACTGGAAGAAAAGTCATCTTTCATATATCTTCTCTCATTTTTCTGCTTTTAACACATATTTCCTCTTTTCTTCTTCTTTTCTTACTTTTTATATTTATACAGTATAAATACAGTTTGGTTTTTTTAAGCTTTCTTTTGCAAACTTTAATAACCTTTTTAAAAGTCCATTCTATACTAACTCCTGGAAGATCTTCACTGAAGGACTCAATTTTGCTTCTAGGAGGAAATGCAGAAGAGCAGCAGTTTAGTGCTTCCTGTCATAACCCAATCTGGGAGTCTTTCAGTAAAAATACAAATGCAGGCTGATAGCAAGCTAGCAAATAAGCCCCAGTGGAGAGCAAGAGGCCTCATTAATCAATACACAAAGTCACCAGAATTGGGAAGCCAGAAAGCAGGCCTCAGTTGTCAAAGTATGTTGTTCAGACAAATCTGTTCACTTCTCACACAACAATTTTGCTAGCCTAACGAACACATTATCATCTGCGGCAGAAGTGGTATTTAGCAGGTTCTGACCAGTTCTGGAGAACCAGTAGTGGAAATTTTGAGTAGTTCGGTGAACCGACAAATACCACCTCTGACTGGAGATTTTACAGTATCCTTCCTCTGCCACGCCCACCAAGCTATGCCCACGGAACCGGTAGTAAAAAAAAAATTGAATCCCACCACTGATCTGCGGTGGCTAGTAATCCTGATTTTGAGTAAATCTAAGCTTGACTCTGAATTGTGTGAGTATACGCTGGTGGTGTGGGGAAGTCTGAGATAGCAATCCAGAAAATCTCCAGGAAATGTAGGTTTAGTTTTGTTGATACCGAAAGAGAATGCAAAGACCAAGCTAGCGGAGAGCATTGTGTATGGCTCATTGATTTACTGCATACAGATAAAACTAGGATTCTCTGCCAAATCATTCAGGTAGTCCTCGACTTACAACAGTTTGTTTAGTGACTGTTCAAAGTTACAACAGCACTGAAAAAAGTGTCTTGTTATGACCATTTTTTACATTTACCGCTATTGCAGCACGCTCCGGTAATGTGATCAAAATTCAGATGATTGGCAACCAGTGATGGCATTCAACCAGTTCGCACCGGATTGGGCGACCTGGTAGCAAGAATTCGGTGTGGGTCGCTGAACCAGTAGTAAGTTCTGGCTGGCCATGCCCCTGACCCAGTCGCCCTCCCGCCTGATGCTCACTCACCCCGCCCGCCTGACGTTTGCCTAAGGTATTTCTTTCTTTTTTCCCCCTCCCAACAATCAGCTGTATATAGATCAGCTGTGCCAGGATTCCCCTTGCTGAGGCCCAGAAAGACTAAAAATGGCTCTGCCCCTCCTCCATTTTTTGCCTTCCTGAGCCTCAGAGGAGCCTTATGGGAGCAAAAACAACCCCCCCCCCGAGGCTCTTCTGAGGCCAGGAAGGTCCCAAAATGGAGCTTGGAGGGGTACTGTGTGCCCCTCCCATGCTGTTTTTTTCTTCTTCTTGAGCTCCTCTGAGGCCCAGAAGGCCCAAAAAACGGGGGGGGCCCTGCAAAAAAAGCCACGCCCACCCAGTCACATGGCCATGGCCACCAAGTTACACCCACAGAACCGGTAGTAAAAAAATTTGAATCCTACCACTGTTGGCAACTGACTCATATTTATGACAGTGCCCCTGAGGGTCATGTTTGGCGACCTTCTGACAAGCAAAGTCAATGGAGAAGCCAGATTCACTTAACAACCATGTTATTAATTTAACAAGTGCAGCCATTCACTTGCCAGCTGCGGCAAGAAAGCTTGTAAAATGGGGCAAAACTCATTTAACAAATGTCTCACTTAGCAGCATAAAGTTTGCGGCTCAATTGTGGTCATAAGTTGAGGACTATCTGTAGTTAGGGCTGAAATGGGAGCGAGATTGTTCTTGAAGTCAGTGGTGGGTGGTTCCAGTAGAAAAACGGTCATGCGTTCCTTCCGTTCATTCGAAAAGGCATCTTACTTTTTTTCAGATTTGCTTACAAGTTTCATTGCAAAGCCATGAGGCAGCAAGCAGAATTCACAGCAAATGGTGACAAAGTTAGCACCAAGCACGATGCAGCACCAGATCGATGGAATAGATGAAGGCATCTGAATACTGGAAAAAAAAAATCAGGAGGTATCTGGTAGCAAATTTTAATACAGATTTGTTAGCCATAAAAAGCGCTACCAAACTTACTTTTTTGACACTACAGACCAACAAAGTATCTTCCTATGATGCCTGAAAAGTGTCCATCTTGCTTGCTTAATTGCTAGAGGCAGCCTATGGCAATAAAATAATACATAAGTACCAGTTCTTAAAGGATGAAAAGGCATTTTGCAAAGTATCATTCACAAAGTTTATAAGAACAGCAACTATTAGACAAAAGGAAAAAAAAACATACTTTCACTGTTCATCTGTATGCTCGGTTCAGGATGTGGTTTATGCAATAGACATTAGAAAACAAACTTACATTTCAGCATTAGGTTGAAGTGTAGCCAGGTTCTTTCAGCTTAATGGATAATACTTACATCCATGACAATGGAATCTTGATCCCACTGATGTCAATCATCATTAATTTTTGTTTGCTCAGAAGTGCATGTTATATTATCAAACCTTTTTGTTTGGTAAAAATGCTGGCAGAGAATATTTAATAGCCAATTTAAACATTTTCTTTTCATTCAACTTTTGTGAATAGAAAATATAGGGATTGTGCTGCTGATACAGTACAACAAAAACAAAATGTTCTACCACTTTTTCCCCTTGAGGTAGCCCTGCTTGTGGTAATCACAAAATTTTTAATCATGGGCTCTGCTCAAATCCATGTTGAACAGGGAATTCAAGTACTTCATGCATGGCATAACAGGATAAAACTGTTCACAATGATTCCATAAAGTCAGCTTCTCTAAATTAAAACCCTCCAAACGTGTGGACTCTGTGCAAATATGAAGGTTTTGTAAGTCATAATTCTTCTGAGACAAAAAAATGCAAGGACCGAATAAAATCTGAGAAATGTATGTACTGTAGGTATGTATGTATGTATGTATGTGTATGACCCATTACCTCACTGGAGCTATTTTGAGCTTGGAGGGAGTGGTGTTAAGAACCTGCATTTGGATGGCATGTATTAGCTGAGTAAAGCAAGGCTAGAGCTTTTAAAAATCATAATCATGTCATGACATTGTAAGGAATGGTCCACAGCACTTGAAATAAAAACAGTCTGATGAATAACAATTATGGAATGATGTGAAAATGGTTACAGTAAATATTGAGAATGTTGGTAACAGATTATTTTATTCCGCAAATTTGTATTTAATTTTTTGTTAAATCTTCAGAAAAACCACAAGGATACTATTATAAATAAAAGAATGAAAATACTGCTGAAATCCAATCAATTCATTTTTGCCCTATTGTGTTAAATATCTCTGCTAGTTTTGGCAGAGTGAATCCTGCTGTCCCTGCCTATATTAAGCTCCTTTCTACAAGCCCCCCCCAAATAGTTTGATCAATGCGTCCATCAATTGGAAGTATTTTCTGAGCCTAAGTTCTCAATTCAACTGAGGACTCAGTGATACATTCTTTTCGCTTCACCATTTTGTGACTTAATAGTCTTCTAATTTGACCACCAACTTCTTTCTACATTATGTTTAAAAATATAAGGGTAGCATTTCTAGGTGGTGGCTGCATTCACATAACATTTCTCAATCATATCATAGAGTAGACTAACTTTTTAACTGAGCACTGTTTGTATCTACAGCTGGGAACTTGAGGAATGAAAACAGATAATCTTCACACTTTGCCCTGTGAACTAGTCTTAAGGAGGTTGCTTGAAAACTGTAAAAGGGGTAGAAGTTTAAGCATTTCAGAGTTAGATATTAGAGAATGTGTGAGAACAATCAGGATTCTAATAAAGGAGAATATTTGTAGCTCAGGGTTGAAATGAGGGGTCCTTGGTGCTCTCTGAGCTTGGTTGCTTTCTTAGTTTGGGTAATGAAACAAGAAAACAACCAAATTGAGCAAGAAAACAACCAAGTTCAGTGAACACCAAGGAGTTCTCAATCAGGATTCTATTGGGTAAGGATATGTTATATGTTTGGTTTGTCTGCCAGTCTAGTTGTCCCTTGGTATTTTTCATGCTGACCGGGGCTGGTAGACAATAGAATTCAACAACTCTTGGGGATCACCCCCCATCTTTTACTAAAGATGTACACACTCAAACATTGTTCTTTTATGATTTCCCAATATTGTGTTACTGCTAAAATGAGTTTCGTACTAGCAAGTAAGAGGGACCAATAGCCTTACTCTATAATATCCAAATGGAATGTTGTTCTTCATTTGACTTGCAAACATATGACTTAGACTTTTATTTGCCTTACTATGCAACTACCTGTTTTGCATTCTATTCCAACTATATATGATATTTCATCCTGATTGGTATTGTTTCTCTTCAATACAAAACAGAGTTAAAATCTGCCATTGTTATGCCACTTCTTTGATACATTAGGAAAGCTGGGCTCAGTTGCTTTCCTGTTTGAAGTTAATTTATCAAGAAATCTCCCTTCTTTGTAGTGTTGCTGTATTCTTTGAAAAGGATATCCATGTAATTAGCAATAACATAAAAAATAATGTGTAAAATATAATGAATCAAAAATACCAAGATTTTGTTAGGAAAAAAAACCATACTACTAAACAATGCATATACTTTTTGCATATGTTAATTTGGAGAATACATTTGCTTGTTTAGAAGTAGCCCATGTGCATTTTGTTGGATATGCACATAATGAAACGTGAACTGATAATTTGCAGGAGAACTGACCTATCCAAAACCATCTCTAGTTCCATTGAATAAAGTCAGCTCCTTATTTGATGTTTCTCCACCTCTAATCCCATCCCTCTGTTATAGGCACACAAAGGCATTCCTAAAACAGTCATTTAGCCTTCAAGTTGACCTGTCAGTCTATTAAAAGTCTATTAAGTTGCGGAAATAGGCTTTAACTTTAATGCGTTTAACTGACTTTTTATTTTTTTCATTACATCTTAAATCCTGTCCCCATGTATTGAGAGCTGCCTTGTGTACCATTTTGATAGAAAGACAGACTATAAACCTAATCAACAAGCAAAGTCAAAAATCCCTGAAAAACTGGATAATTCTTTAGCGATTTACAGGCATTAATAGCGTGTTTCTGCAGATTTTGATTGGTAACATTGTTTGGTTTCGAAAGATATCCTGAACTTCAAAGTGAGTCATTAATGCAGGGATAAATTATGTTTTGAGCTTCAATTCTCATAACAAAACTGGGTGTAGGCAAGAGACTGTGAGAAGTATCGTTCAAATTACTGCAGAGTCCAAGACTGCCTATTCTGGCCTTAACAGATAGAGTAGTGTATCTCAGTTTATGACAAAAAAGAACTGGACACCCTTTGGGGTAAATATAATTCTGAGTAAAACTGTGTAAGATTATGGCTCTGTGGATATCTTTCAACATATATAATAATAATCTTGGAGATTTTTAACAAAACCCCTTGATATGATGCAATCCTTGGCTACTTCAAGGTCCAATTTCATTTGGTCAGTTTGGCATTAGCATTTTTACATAAAACAAAGTTTATAGATTTATCCATTGAAGTTTTTAAAAAATGACAAAAATTGTGCTGAATTGCATCTTCATTAATTACTGGAACTCATGCCCACAAATGAATGCAAATCAAACCTGCAAACAAACAAAAACAAACAAACAAAAACCTCCAGCAGATATTGATCATGTAATCCTTGGCTGAGCTAATGAAAACAGGCCATAAGACTTTCAGTAGCCATCAGAAAGTTAAAGTACTGAATGCTGGAACTTGAAGGCCTTTATCTGCAAACAAATGAAAGTATATTAATAATATTTACAAATACTAAAACTAACAGTATTTTGTTCACAGTGCCATTGCTTATACAGGTAGCTTTCCCATGATACTTGTATTTTGGCATGAGAATATATATATATATTTCATTATATATGTATATATAATGAAAAACATACAAGTGCGAATATAAACAGGCCACAGATACAGCCATCAAAAGAGACATCTGGGAACATTTAAACTGTACAGCTCTTCCCTTTTGATTCGAGAGGAAACACTGTTCTTGCGGTGAGAATGTCAGTCTTTTATCTAAAGTGGCTTAAAATGATCAATGGGTACCACTATGAAAAAATCATTGTATACACAGAATAACCTTACTTCAAGGTTCTTTAAATGCCTTTTCCAGTGCATCAAATACAAAAATTATAAAAGACATTAGTCAGTTAAAACTTCTCTCTGTGTGGCCAAATGTCTTCTGAGTTCTGATGATGCTGGTGGTGAGTTTTAATGTGCAGCCCAGCTGCCAATTGACTGTACATTACTCCAAGCCTTTATTCAACACCTGTCTCAATATCACACAAAGTTAATGCAACTTGATAAGCCAAAATGCACTGGTCTTTCCTGTGTCCTCCACTACTCCTATGAGTTGGTTCCTGCTTATCAGTCCAGCTTCATTATCTTACTGCAAGCTTGAGATCAGAGGTGACGAATGGCTTCAGATATTAAGATGAAGAAGGAAGATTTGGTGGCACTTCAGAATCAAACCTACAAATAATGTAGGTTTTTCCCAATAGGAGGTTACTTCAGGTTCAGTTTTCCTCCAGCTCTCTTGATTTTCTGTCTTGATGATGGGCCAACAGACCTGTAGGATTTTGTTGTTGTACCACCTCTATGGGGTTTCTCCTTCATTAAAAGTCTGCTCTTCGTTTTCAGTAATTTGGAGTGAGTGGTCAATGGTGATGCCATGTTGCTTAGGAAGCAATCTCTTCCACTTGGTCTTGTTTCTTCTCAGATGGTTCAGCATGTTTTCAGATAAATGAGTGTTCCCGGTAAAGTTGGCCCATTCTTCAAAGAGTGGCTCCACAATATAGGTCATGAAGCCTGGAGAAGAAACATAAGGCAAGTTACCTCAGCAGTTTAGTTGATCACTAAATGCCCTTTTCTGCTAAGCCAACATTCTACTCTGAAAAAGGGGTGGCCTACCATAGCTTCAAGATTGCATTATTTGGGTGTTCTTAATTAATACAAAATTAATTAATATTTAACTTACTACAAAATTATTTTGGCTTTTCTTTTACCCATTGCCCTCACACTGCTCTACACCTGCTGGAATGTAATGCTATTTGAACTGATCTGATGGTATGGCGCCTGGTTATTTGAGGGACTGACTATCTCCCATAACCAGTGGAACATTAACCATTAATCAGTGGATCAGGTTGCCTGATTCAGAAGTTTTGGGTGTGCTCTGACCCAAACCCTTTTCCAATAAGACAAACAATAACCAAAGGAAACAGAAACCTTTTAATGAGTCTTACGAATCCCTGGTTAAAAGGCTGCTGCAAACTAATTAACTTTGGTAAACACAAACCTTGCCAAAACTGTGTGAGATTGCCAAAAATCACAGATAAGAAATATTTCACAACACAAGAGTCTTCAAATACCAACTTAAGATACTGTAATGTCCACAAGGCTGAGTTTCAAAACGTCTTTGCTTCCTGCAAAGAACGTTCGCTTCACAGCTGGCTTTTATCTTCTTGAAGGAGGGGCCATTACCTTGCAGCCTTACTCATGAGTCACCCGTGCTGTTGCAGCTGCTCTTCCTGCAAGCAATCCTGCGCACACCTGTACTTGACACAGGCTCCTCGGGAACCTCCTCATCGCTGCTGCCAGCCCCTACAATCTCTGAAGGCAGCAGTCCACTCCCTAATGGTTCTGGCCCCTCATCTGAGTTCTCACTCTCCTCAGTCGTCCGCACCTGCTGTTGGCTAACCACAACAGGGTGCTTCATCATTGGAAGAAGACACTTGACAGCCACTTCTCCAAAATGGTCCCCTGCTTGAGGTTGGATTAGAAGACCTCCAAGATCCCTTCCAGCTCTATTCTGATTGAACATCTCCCTGGCCAATTTGATCCTGCAGGGTTGGTGCATTCTGAGGTCCTTTGATTAAACAATGTCAGGATCTCAAAAATGTTCCTTTTTAGCACTGCCTACCCTTTGAAATAAAGTTCTCCCAAGATCTGGATGGCCCCCACTCTACTATTGTTTAGAAGAGCTCCTTACCCAGGCCTTCAGTGTAGGAGAGTAGGACTCCCTGTTTCCTTGTGCTTGCTATTCTTTATTTTTTTTAATTTCATTGTAATTTGATTATTGTAAACTGCCCAGAACCATGGAGAGGCATTATTATTATTATTATTTGAAGTATAGTCAGCCAGATGTTTAGACTGGAATTGGCATTTTATTATTATTATTCACTATCACCCTTGTCATAAGAACTTATTTACTAATTCAGGAAGTCTTATGGCTATTTTACTAATTAAATAATTAAAATAATACTAAATGTGGAGATGGAAGACTACAGAAATACCCTTAAAGGAGAAATGGATCATGAAGATGGCAAAGCTTGAAGAAATGGCTAAAATAACTTGTTTGATAAAGGAGAGGACAATAATTACTTTTATAAAAGACTGGAAACCCTTTATAGGCTTTTTATGAAAATGGGCAAAAATAAATTGGTAATTTGGTGATTTATTAAAAGGCTTGTTTATGGGGAGAAAAGAACCACAATATGTCATTTGGGAGGATAGAGATGGTAATTACTACATAACTGCTGCAAAGAAGATTGGAAGTCATTTATTTTACATATCGTTCTCTTTTGTTATTTCTCACTTTTTCTTTTGTGTTTTCAGAACTCCCTCTTCTCCTTTTCATTTGATGTTTCTGAGTTTTCTAATCGTATGTAAGATCTTCTTTTAATACAAGTTATATTTTTAAAAAACTCTAATTGCATTTTAGGAATGACTACTACTATGTATAATGAGATGTACCTAAGACCAGACCATGGCACACATTTCCATAGCTGGGCTGAGAAGGGCTCCAGACAGGGGTGGGATTCAAATTTTTAATAACCAGTTCTGTGGGCATGGCTTAGGCAGTGGGCGTGGCTTGGTGGTCATCTTATTGGCTGGGTGTGGCCAATTCAATAGCACTCACACCGAGGCACCATCTCCTTGCCTGGCCTCTCATGACTGTGGGGATGCTGCAACAGTCATAAGTGTGAAAAATGGTCATAAGTCACTTTTTTCAGTGCCATTATAACTTTGAATGGTCACTCCACACAAGCAAAGTACCAGCAAAGGAGGGGAAAAAAACTCCAGAGACGTTCCTGAGACAGGAAGTCAAGTCCTGCCAAGAACGTAATAAGGGTTAACAGAGAAGCAGTTTCTGTAAGCAACACCAGAATGTTTCCTTCCTGCATTCCTTACAGGATTAGGCCAGTAATTTCTTCTAACAACCAGTTTTCTGAACTGCTTAGAATGTTAACAACCGGTTCTAGAGAATAGGTGCGAACTGGTAGAATCCCACCCCTGGTTCCAGATGGATAAAAGGAGAGGTAAAAAAGTCAGGGGATTCTTTGCCAGCAAAATCATTGCTGCTGCTTAAGTTGCCACTGGCCATAATTCCCGTGGGCATTTAGCTCCTTTTGTTAAACTTTTCTTTCCTGTCTATTACAGTGATTGTCACAAATGACCTGGCACAGCAGTCAATTCATCTTAGCATCCGAAGTCCCCATAATTGTTGACCCATTAGTAGCTAAGATTTAATTTGATTCACTATTATTAGCATTGATAGATTAGAAAATGTTTGGCCTTTGCTTTTGAGCTTAAGCGTTCAACTTAAAAACACTGTGTCCTTGAATTACAACCATTCATTCAGTGGCTGTTCAAAGTTATGACAGCACTGATATAAGTGACTGATGAGTCTTTTTTCACTTTTTTTCAAGTCAATGGGGAAGTCAGATTCACTTAGCAACTGTGTTACTAACTTAACAGCTGCAGTGATCCACATAACAACTGTGGCCAGATAGGTTGTAAAATGGACAAAACTCACAAGCAGTTTAGCTTTATATCCCAAAGGATTATAAAACATATTTTATCTGTCTGCCAAATAGTTTTTCCTGGAATAGAAAAATTATGGTACCTACTAGGCTAATGATGCATGGTATACTCACCAATTTGTATACTAGGTATTGTGTCTTTCTTCTGATTACAAAGAGGACTTACTTCCAAGTCAAATTTCTGCTCCAGATCACCTATCAGAAAGGATGATTAAATTTTGACACCATAAATGTTTTTGTGTGTAGAGCTCTAACAATTCAGTCTACTGGTTAAGGCACTAGGCTACTAAGTGGGAGATCATGAGTTCTAGTCCTGCCTTAAATATGAAAGCCAGCTGGATGTCCTTGGGCCAATCCCTTTCTCTCAGACCAGTTCACCTTCACAGGAACCCCAGGAACTTGTGGGGAAAATAGGAGAAGGAAGATATGTTAGATATCTTCACCGCCTTGAATTATTTGTAAAAATTAATAAATACACATAAATAAATACAAATTTAATAATTTATATGCTAATATGTCTGAATGCTGCAAATCTTAAAAGGAAAATAATGGTATCCATCTGACATTCATATACTGTTTTTACAATTCACGTTGCACATCTCTGTTACCAAATCATGCAAAGCAAAGATATAGAACTCCTCTCTTGCACAAATTATTTTATGGTCATTTGTGGTACTTAAGTGATGTGTTGGAAACCTCTACAATTGTATAGGTAGGGCACAGTAGTTGTATTAATATTTCATTACTTTATTGGTAGACATTTGTAAGTCATTTTATCTTATTAAACTGCAAATTTTGTATTCTTTCCTGGAGAAGATGTCTATTTAATACAGGGGTCTCAAACTCGCGGCCCGCGGGCCAATTGCAGTCCGCAGGACGATATCATGTGGCCCCCACCGTGATATGAAAGTATAATATTAGTGCGGCCCGCAGGGGGAATGGACCTCTGAAGGAAGTCCTGCCCGCCGTTCCTCGTCGTGACTTCTTCTCCACCCTGAACTTTAACAAGTCCAAGTACAGGTCCAGACTTACTGATGATCATCTTCAAGCCATACTGAGGGTCTCAAGTGCCTCCTCTCTCAAGCCAAATGTGGCTCAGATATGTGAGAGGAAGCGTTGTCAAGTCTCTGGCAGCAAGGAGTAAGCTGGAGAAGCCATGTTCTGAGGAACTGTTCATGATCTTCATTCAATGTTCCATTCATGTGTTCAGGACAGTTCATGTATTGGAGAAATCATTAACTGTTGATGACATTTGAGGATATTTTTTTAACAACGTTTTTTGTGGAATCCCTTATGCGGCCCAGCCTCACCCAGACTCTGCCTCCAGCGGCCCCCAGGTAAATTGAGTTTGAGACCCCTGATTTAATATAAGACAGGGGTGTCAAACTCATGGCATCATGGCATCGTCACGTGATGTACTGGGACTTTTCCTCCCTTCACTAAATTGGGCGTGGGCATGGCCAGCACGTGATGCATCTGGCCCACGGGCCGGGAGTTTGACATCCCTGATCTAAGATATGTACCACAATGTGTTACTTGCTATCATTCCTTTCATACACCTTTTATATGCATTGTTGCTATCAGTAGCTTTGGGTGGTCAGAAGCATAATGTGTAACATAAACCTTCCCTAACTTTATGCTCCACACATTTACAAGATTCCAACACCCAAAATTCCCAGTCAGAGGGCCACATTCATAGATTATGATTCTAATGCGGCTGAAGGGTACCTGATTAGGATAACCTGCACAAGATGTTTTCTTTCTGATGGAAACTAGAAAATTCCTGCAAATGGATTTTCTTTTGGGATGGAACGGTGAGGGGAGATGAAAATGTCGAGAGTTCTACATGTAGGCCAAGCCAGGCCCTTAATCCCTTCAGGGGAATTCTGGGTGTTGAAATCCACAATCTTAAAAGTTACCAAGTTTGAAGGACTCTGGCGCTAATTCATCATCTTTTGGTATTATTAAAAAGACTAGTGAACACAACTGTTCAAAGTTTATCAAGGCAATTAAACAGCTATGGTTGTATTAATCACTTACTTTCCTTTTCTTGTTTTAAAAAAGAAGGCATTTATTTAAGAAGATTGCATTTTCCCCTGGTTTTTTTTTTAGCAACTTCAAATAAGATGACCAGTCACTGCCACTTCATATTAAAATTATGATTCAGAAACACAGGGCCAAGGTGAAAATATATCAGATTGCTGACCTTGCCTGTAGAATTCCTCACAAACTCGCTCACTCCACTGTTTGCTCAACTCCCAGAGCCGGCAAGGATTGCAAATGTCTGCGCACTTAAGTGCAATCTGAAAATAAAAGACATCCGTGATGCATTAAGACATATAATACTCAAGAGATTTTCAAAATTTATTGGCCGTTGCAAGTTTTATGTTGTACTACAAAAGACACTCAGTAGGGGAATTATTCCATAATACCAATCAAAATGAAAAAGATTAATAACAATTAAAACTACAGAAAAGCAATAAATTCAATATATACTGAATAACTTACAGTTATAATTATAACACTGTAAACCTCCACACTTTATAAATGCAAATATACTCTGATGCTGGATAACATTCTATATACTAATAGCAAATTAACTTTTTAAAGCATAGCTTGAGGAAACCCCACAGTCTGTATATTATGAAGAAATATGTGAAGGATAAAAAAAATCAAGTTAAAATATGCTTTAGGGACACAATTCTAGTTAACAGTTGCGAGGGGAGGAAATGAAATGACATCCTGGAACAAGGTATAGCTAATTGTCTGGAATGCTGGATTTTTGCTGCAGAGATACCTTAGCACTAATATAAATCATTTTGGAATGTTTTATTTTGTTATATGCAACTATTATCAAATCGTTAACATCAATTAACAATGGTTGAGGCTGCCAGAAGAGCAAGAACCAGAACTTTGTATCCCCCTTGACACCCGAGGAATGTAAAAGAGGAAGTTAAGAAAAAAAATCAAATCATCTAATTGTGCTTATTCCACTGAATTGCGGTTTCATTTAATTTGCTAGTAATTCCCTCAACAGCAAAGTTTGTGAAAGAGACTTGGTTGAGAGTGAGTGGCTGAAGACATCCTGTGAACTTCTCTGGTGAAGAGTTGACTGGACAGAACTGGCCCCATCGGTGAAGAGAGGGAATAATGCTTCCTTGCAGGAGAGATAGAAAAAGCAATAGCACTTAGACTTATATACCACTCCATTGTTCTGACCCAAACCCTTTTCCAATAAAACAAACACAAACCAAAGGGAACAGAAACCTTTTAATGATTCTTACGAATCCCTGGTTAAAAGGCTGCTGAAATTTGATAAGCACAAGCCTCGCCAAAACTGTGCGAGACTGCCAAGAATAACAGATAAGAAATATTTCACAACACAAGAGTCTTCAAATACCAACTTAAGATACTGCGATGTCCATGAGGCTGAGTTTTAAAACATCTTTGCTTCCTACAAAGAACGTTCTCTTCACAACTGGCTTTTATCTTCTTGAAGGAGAGGCCATTACCTTGCAGCCTTAGTCCTGAGTCGCCCGTGCTGCTGCAGCTGCTCTTTCCTGCGAGCAACCCTGCGCGCACGCGCACTTGGCACAGGCTCCTTGGGGACCTCCTCATTGTTGCTGCCAGCCCCCACAATCTCTGAAGGCAACAGTCCACTCCCTAATGGTCCTGGCCCCTCATCTGAGTCCTCACTCTCCTCAGCCGTCCGCACCTGCTGCTGGCTAACCACAACATCCATAATGCTTTATTTGTGATTACAAATGTCACCATATTGCCCCCAATCTGGGTCCTCATTTTACTGACCTCAGAAGGATGGAAGCCAGACTCAACCTTGAGCCTGTCAGGGTTGAACTCCAGACTGTGGGCAGAATTAGCCTGTAATCCTGCATTCTAACCATTGCGGTGGTTTTAAGTTGACATCTATCTGGAAACAGAAGACATCTTCTAATCTAGATGTGCTTCCCTGGTTTAGCACTCTATACAAACTAAATTTGGGCATAATCCCAAATTCAAACAGATTTGGCTGTATCACTGCCAGCCAAGCCATATGTAGCTGCTGCCCTGATTGAATTAACAGATTCAAAATATTTGGGGATGTCTTTTAAGAGTGCTTTAATTTCATTTTCATATTACAAGAAGTTCTTGCTTGCCTCATTTAGCAACCCTTCGAAGTTACAACAGACCTGAAAAAGTAACCTTACTACTTGTCCTCACACTTAAGTCCTTTGTAGCATCCCTGTAGTCACAGGATTGCTGATCTGGTGCTTTGCAGCAGGTTGGCAATTATGACTGTTGCAGTGTCTTGCAACCATGCTTGCATGCTTCACAGCTAAGTTATCTGATAAGCAAGTCAGTAGTAAAATTGCATATTTTGACCATGTGATGTCTCGCTTAACTATTGCAGATTATTTGCTTAATGACCACAGCGGGACTGAGTTTATAAGCCCATTGTGGTCCTGTGTTGTCTTACTTAATGACCATATCACTAGCAATGGAGTTGCTTGTCCCAATCATGGTCACTAAGTAAGGAGTATCTATATTGTGAGAATAAAGTACTGGATATCTGAATGACTCAAGTAGCTGGACTAATTCAGTGCCTCAGGCATCTCTCCTGTCCAGTTGACCATGATGATGGTGTTGGTGTTGGTGGTGTGTGTGTGTGTGTGTTTCTATATATCTATATCTATCTATATCTATATCTATCTCTATAACTATCTATCTCTATATCTATCTCTATAACTCTCTCCCTCTCCCTCCCCCCCCCTCTCTCTCACACACACACACAAACACACACATGTTGACAAGGCTTCTTTATTCACTTTCCTTATTCAATTTGTTGCGGCCGTGTCATGTAAAAGGCAACTGAGATTAAATATAGCCAGTGTATCAAAATCATGGATGAAATGAAGAAAGTGGGCAGGGAGAAATTTTCCTCTCATCTTGAAAAAAATAAGAGCGGGGATCAGCCAACAAAGCTGTCTGGGTCAAGGGTTTAGAGTATAAGAATGCATTTCCTCACACATCATTAACCTCCCAGAATTCATAACCACAACTGCAGTAAATTTGGATGGCAACTAGACACATAGGAAACATTGAATTTGGGTGGCATTTGGATAAATTTATGGAGAAAGTATCTCTCAAGAGCTATAAATCTTCAACAGCTAATGTTGCTCTAGGGTTGAGAACAACTTGGCCCCAAATACCAACTGGAGGGGAGCAATGGTGGGAGCGGGATTTATCTCAATTTTCTATATTTGAACACCCTAGAGGCATTTTCTTAGTTATTATAAAAAACAAATGCTTGGCTTAACCAACTGGGCCTTTGTATATTCTTGTGCTGTTTTCGCCTAATAGCATAAAGTGTAAATTGGATGAAAGTGAGTAACTCAATGAATGCTACAAAATAATGCCAGCACAGAAACTTGGTACCACTGGCTCTTTGCTTCATGTCTCCTCTGCTATGGGCCCCCAGAGAAAACACCTACTTTTAAACAGAAAACCTTCAACATTTACCTGGAGTATAAAATGCCTGTCTGAAGCATCCTCTAATTTCAAGTCCTGGTTTTTTAGATGAGCCTTCAGCTGGGTCAAAAATTCATTCTGCCTGTTGATATCTGTTGCCAAGATCAGGGAACCAAGCTGTTGTTCAATGTCATGACTACAGGATAATGCAAAATAAAAGAAGCTGTTATTAATAGATGTCATTTCCCCATTTTGTATTGTTAGGGTAATGCCTCCTCTTATTAAATGGCCACCAGGGTGGCTGCTGGGAGGAACAACAGCATCAAAATGGCGGGCATAATTGGAGTGATCCAAGCCCTGCCTATTTTTGCATATGTCTGTGGTGTAAGACACATAGTTAAAAGGGGTGGAGCTTCAATTGCCTAGCTGTGCTCCCCATTTTGATGCCGTTGTGTACATCCCTGAAGAGCTGCATTTCATCTAAGACTTATGATTAGGACTGTGCAATGGAAAATGCTTCAGAAACTGAATGTATCACCTTCCCTGCAGCTCATTAAAACAGCTACATCTTTCTCCACAATCTCACAGCCCTTTCTCATAGCACTGGTATAAATCTCACCAGAGTCTTCCCATAGTTTACTCCAACTTGAATGAGGCAGCAAGAGTGATGCTGAACAGTATTTCATACACATGTCTTAACCATGTGCTGACGGTCCATGAGAGTTCACAATTTTTGCTACACAGAGATTTTGAATGTGGAGAAGGAAAATGTCTAAGATTGGTACAGGGATTGCCCTTAGAACAACTGAGTAACGCCAATCAAATTGGGCAATTTCCAAGTTGTAATATATATTTTTTCCAGGCAAATGTGATTGGGAAGCATGCATGTATGCACACAGATGTGCATGCATCAACATACAAACCACATCCACACGGATCACACAGGGATTACAAACCATATTATATTTACAAAAGTGGATCTTTTCGAAGATTTTGAATCTGGTGCTTTTATAGTGTTCTAGGGCAAATGAATAGATAGGTAGATGAATAAAGGGATGGACTCACAAATCAGGACAGGCAAAACCCAAATAAACTCACCATTCATTTGCACACCTGTTCATCCTATAAAGTGCACTGTAAAAACATTGTATTCAAAAAAGTTATGGGAATCCACATGAGACGAGCCCATTTCCCAGACTCCGATGCTCACCTCTCTTCTTTTGGCAGATGTGCAAGGAGTCTTGATTCTCGAAGCATGCCTATTGTAGACCTCCAGTGATGGTTTTCTAATACAGAGACATTCTGGAAAAGGGAGAGAAAAAAATCACTATACTGAAATGGATGCAATTTTAATAAAAAAAGAATAGGTGTATTTTTAAAAAGGACTAAGTATGCATTTCATTCGATGTTGAGTAAGGCAGTGAGGTTGTCCAACAGTAGCCTTGCCTTTATTCACAGGGCAAAAATATTTTTGCATCCTTTTTCTTTACTTCTCCCTATAAGCCCTGACATTTCAAAGACTTTGCAGCCAGGCCTTAGATCATCCCAGCTGTATGCCTAGCATTTGGCTGTGCCTTGTCAAAGCCGATAGAGAAAGATGAGTTTGTCACAAGATAATCTCATAATTATTCTGTACTAGCCTTGGTACTTGTGGCCCTGTCTGTTCCTTTATCTTTGGGTTCAAGGACTGTCTAAATTGTTACATAGCTGACATCTCACAGAAGGGAAGGAAAAATGGGGGTGGGGGGGGGAGGATCTCAAGCTTTTAAAAAAGGGTATGCAGCTCTCCTTTCATTTCTGTAATGAGATAATTATAAAACTGGGATTCTGTTATAACCCATTCACACCTATTGACTGAGTTCCTTCGATGTATTTTACAACTGAAAGCCAAGTAAATTCCATTAGTGTCATATGCCAAGATAGGAGGGCCAACTAGGCTTGGGGATATCCAAATTCCAATTCCAACCACTGAGATCCCTAAGTTTAGCAGACATTATCTCATCGTTCAAGCCTACTTCATGAATTGTTGCGAAGACAAACATGTATTTATAGGGAAGGAGAGAGAAGTGCTTGGAGAAAATATTGTCTAGGAATTCAATAAGTAAATGTGTTACTAAATTATGGACAACAGAGATTTTTGTCTGGCAAGATTCTATGCCAGCCAGATAACACGAGTTGGATCCAGAGGCCACCTGGGTGGAGAACTGTTAAAAAAACTATTAAATCATAAATAATGACCTGTACCACTTTAGCCAAGTATTAGAAACTTATAAAGCTAACAATGTTTACTTGAACGCAACCTCTGACACTGTTTATTAAAGAACACTATGGAAGACTCATCTTAAGTCTCAAATATGTATTCAACTGCAACATTTGTTTTGGGAGATAATTCATGTAATCTTTGGCACCATTTCCAAATTATTTTTCTCCCTGATTTTAGGCTATAAAATATATGGTTCTTCCAATATGTATTTGAAATCGGTGCTCTCTGTCTGCCTTTAATTTTAATTTCTGAAAATTTTGAACAGAAAGTCTGACCCTTGAAACTCAAAATTAATTATGACATTAAGCAATATTGTGCCATTTTTCTTAGTTCACAGCAGTAGTGGGATTCAATTTTTTTTACTACTGGTTCTGTGGACATGGCTTGGTGGACATGGCAGGGGAAGGATACTGTAAAATCTCCAGTCAGAGATGGTATTTGCTACTCAAAATTTCCGCTACCGGTTCTCTAGAACTGGTCAGAACATGATGAATACCACCTCTGGTTCACAGTACATAGCATAAGGAGTACCTATTCTTCAAGTCTATCTTTGCAGCTATCAACTTTTTTTAAACAGGCACAATTTGCCTCCTTATCATATTCTGCACTTTTTTCACATCACTGTAGAATTATAAAGCTACTGTTTCATCTGATAAAAGTAGGAATAAAAGTAGAATTTTAGAAAGTTCTATTTCCTACAAATACTATCCGTATATATGGGGAGTAAATGAGTTGTGTGAATCATTTCTGTAGGCAGGGATGACCACTTCCCACAGGTCTATATCTTGAAAATAGTTCTGCAATAACTGAAAAGTTGAGGTGACCATGGTAAAAAGAAGTGACCGGCAACCTCTAATACTGTACAGTTCTAACAAAGGTGATTTGGGGAAAAAAGCAATAATTTATGCCAATAGTTATTCCCACCTGATATAAACCGGCAAGATGATGTTTAGTTTTTATCAAAAATGGCTGGTTGACTCCGGGATGATCTACATCATGTGCTGCAGCAGCCAGTAATCCAAGCATAACATCCAGAGGGGTGAGGAAGTTAGCAAGCTACAGCATGTAAAAAGGGGTTCAGAGTTAAAGGTGATTGTATTTTTACAATATGTATTTTTACATATTACAATTTCCATAGATTGTAATCTCATGCACTGTGTTAAACTTTATTCAGGTTTTGTTGAATAACATATTGGACCTAGTTCATATACAATGTTAAGTCATGAATGTTGGTTCTTAAACCACTGATTCCCTCATCATACTAAGCTATGGCTTGTTTCCATTTAAGTTAGTTGAACAAGCCATTGTGGCCATAATTTACGTATCACATTAATTCACGTATCACATTAATTTAAAGCCAAGCAACCGTTATGGCTCTTTGTAAAGCCATTTTTCAAGAAACTATAATGCTTTCCACTTTATACCTTCACTCCCTATTATTCAACTTTAGCAAAAAACATGAATTGCCATTTTTCAAAGGAACTATTAAATAGTGATATGAAAGTTATATGTCAATATCTTATTTATTTATTTATTTATTTGATTTGCCAATTGTTTACAAGATAAGTATAAGTGTATACATAGTTGTGAATACATGAAATGGGTACATATAAGAAAAATAAAAGAAGAATAAGAGAAACAATAGGACAGGGACGGTAGGCACGTTGGTGCGCTTATGCACGCCCCCTACAGACCTCTTAGGAAAGGGGTGAGGTCAATAGTAGACAGTCTAAGGAAAGCATGCTGCCAAGCCTGACGGAGATATGACTACCAGTATAATTTTAGCAGGCACTTTGATGCGGCAACTGATACAGACGTAATGGTGCACAAAATGTGTGAACAATTAAAGGGCCCTGCAGAGCTCATCTGAAAAATCTGGATGCAGTCACAACCATACCATCAAAATCCTGCCCTCCCCTTTAGTGCATTATATATGATGCTTCAATCACATACTCCCATTTGCCTTCCAGAGTTTTTTCCTGTCTACTTCTTCTCCCTAATTCCCTTCCTCTGGGATACTAAGTTACAACCAATGTTAAAAACAAGAACAACACACCACTTTTGACTACTAAAGAAGACCAATGCCTTATCTGTTGCAGCCCCTACTCTCTGGAACAGCATTGCTCCCATTCTGAGAGAACAGAAGAACAAAGTTGGAAGGGATCTTGGAGATCCAACCTCCTGCTCATGCAGGAAACTTTATACCATTTCAGACAAATGATTGTCCACTTTGTTTTTAAAAACCTCCAGTGACTGAGGAGCCACAAGTTCTGGAGGCAAGCCATTCCACCGGCTAATTGTTCTCACTGTCTGGAAATTTCTCCTTAGCTCTAGATTGCTGCTCTCCTTGATTAGTTTCCATCCATTGCTTCTTGCCCTGCCTTCTGGTGCTTTGGTAAATAGGTTGACCTTCTCTTTTTTGGGGCAGCCTCTCAAATATTGGAACACTGCTATCATGTCACCCCTGATCCTTCTTTTCACTAGACCCAACTGAAAAGTCCTGCAATCGTCCTCCATATGTTTAGCCCCTTAATCATCCTTGCTGTTCTTTTCTCCACTTTCTAGAGCAAGGCTCTTCAAACTTGGCAAGTTTAAGACTTGTGGACTTCAACTCCCAGAATTCCTGAGCTAACATGACTGGAGGAGGAATTCTGAGAGTTGAAGTCCACAAGTCTTAACGCTGTCAAGTTAGAACAGTGATCCCCAACCTTTTTTACGCCACGGCTCGGTATCCCCAACCTTTTTTATGGCGCGGCCCGATACCGGCATTAGCTGGGCGCCGCCAT